GGGTGTGGGGGGCAGAGCCCCCCACCTAATTTTTCAATTACTTATCAGGGATAAAATAGGGAAAATTTAATACCCACATTAAGGAGTTTGTAAAAAATGAGTTGGCATGCCTGCCGCGCACCGGCTACCACCGTCATTATCGACCGTCGTGCAGTTTTTCCTTCACTTGGACCGTGTTGTACCTCATGCTATTTTCTACGATCAATTGTGATCTCTTACGTTATTTAACTATACACATTCGTATTCCATTGTAATAGGTACAACCCGTTTTGTATTTTCTTGTAAGATTACATTTGATTACCGTTTGTGAACAATCAACTTTCAATAAAACAACCGTTCCTTTAATATAATATATCGTATTGTGTGTCAAATTATTGGAGTGTCATCTCTCATCCCAATATCTAACCTCGTAATACTTAGAATGCCATCTTCGCTCACATCACCAACACACCGGCGACCGGACAACCTGGAACACAGTACCACCATAGTCCGTGTAAAATATGTTTTAAAAGAATGTCCAGTTGAGGGAACGTTGAAAAATCCATCCACTGAATCCTCTCAGGAAAATGATAATAATGCAAAAGAAAAAGCTTTTAAAATTGGATCAGCAGTTAACGTTGCAACTGTTGGTTATCCTTATTAGGTATGCTGCTATCGTTACAGCAATTGACAAGGATTATGTGTCAGTTATGTTTCCAAACTCAGAAGATACAAAGCAATATAAATACGAACACAAGAACGTAAAGAAATTTGTTACGCAGGTAAAAAACGGTCAATTTAAACCCATAAAAAAAATGCAAACAACTAACAACAGCTCAAAGGAAAAATATAAAACTTTTGAAAAAAAATGTATTAGATTATTTAAAAATTAAATAAGATTTTTGATTTCAATAAATATTTTTTGTTTATTATAGGATTTTAAGGAATCCAGGAAAAAAAACATCATGACACAACTTGTAAAATGATTAATGAGTGGGAGATAATCATGATCAATTAAAAAAAAATTATGTACTACAAAATTTTAAATGAATGTCATTAAAAAAAAAAAAAAAAATTATATGAATTGTATTATGTTCATTGTATTCAGCACAATCTGGCCTATCAGAAAAACACAACTTCACAAATTTAGCTGAAAAACAAAGGAAAATTATCACAATGTACATTTTTTTGAAGTAATTTAAAAAACATATTTATAATACCATGATAAAAATTATATGTTTATATACGTCATAAATTGTTCTATCAGAAAAATACAATTTTTTTCATAAAGATTGGGTAAAAACTAAAGGGTAAATAGACTTATGTTCAAAAAAGAAACCACTGTAATTACGATATTTTGGATTATCCCAACATATATTATTAAAAAAAAAACATATATAGTACTATGGCAAAAATTATATTTATGGATCCTTCATAAATTGGTCCATCAGAAAAATACAACTTCATAAAGTTTAAGTAAGAAATAAAAGTTAAATACGCTTATATTCAAATACAAAATAACCAGCTAAAATTACGAAAATATGCCAAATATTTATGTTCAAAACGTGATTTCTGAAAAAATATATGAAATAGGGTATGTTTTGTATATATACCGATTCAGCGTGATATTATCTATCAAGAAATTATAAATGTATAGCGTATATTTGCGAAATAAAGTTTTTCTACCATATATCGTCCGCATAGTTAAGAAATAACGTATTCGCAGCTTTACGTAAGCACTAAGCAGCCCCGGCTTTTTACAAAAATCCATGAAAACCTAATTTCGTTTATATTACTAATATTGCTTTAAATATTTGTAGATATTTTTTAAATAAACGATTAAACCTTACCTTTTCACAAGGCTTCATCAACACCATCTTACATCCACCTTGTTGTAAGCATTTGATTTTGTAGTGTTTTATTTTATCACCATAACAAACTATAGTAAATGTATATAATATAAATATGAGTATAATAAAGGTAAAGTGCATTTGTTCCAAATTATACTAATAACACTAATATTATTATCAGTAGGCAACTAATAATATAGAAAATAATATGTTCAATTAACTTACCAGACAAAGAGTATTTATTTTTTCGACTCTCGGAATCTTTAATTAAAAATTCTCCATGTCCATTTGAGCTGTTGTTTTTCAGCTTCAAACCTTTTTATGTTTCTAAAATACCACGGCTTGGCTTTATGTATGTT